CTGATAGATATACCAAAAAGCCGCACGCGCCGCTTTGCTTCATCGTTTCTGTTACGATCAGCTAAAGACTGGAATCATAGTGACAATATGAGAAACTATAGACAGTATGTAAATAAGCTTTTAATAGCTCAGCGTGATCCACACTTAACATAGGCGGGCTAACATCGACCTATATGTATATGTTGAAAAAAATATGCGAAAACTTAGTCACCTCCAAATTCGGTGGGTAATATAGATATAGACCATATTTCGAATTGGCAAGAATTTATTATTTTAACACATAGTCAAACGCTACTTAGGCTTAACGATGCTGCAATCATTATATTAATTGTTAAACCAAGTAATATGTATCCAATCCTATTAAAGTACTCATTAACTATCAACACATTAGCCCAGACATGTTTACCCACTGCGCGCGACACCGTCTTATTAAAAACGCTAGAGATAAGATAACGAAAATTACTAAGTAAACTGATTTTAATAGATACACTAAGAGTATAAATTAGAAGCCTGGAAGGCATACCGGTTAAAAGCCTACAAGCAGGGTAATTTTATTCGTAAATAAAACAAAGCCTAGAAATTTTACCTGCATTGCCTTACTATATGTTTGCTTGAAGGGTTAAAATGATTTAAAGATAGTTTAAGAGGCCCATAGAGAAAAAAAATAATAGCTTTCTGATTATAAATACATACGTTAAAATAATATTGTGTCAATTTGCTTCTAAATAAACGCTTTTTTTATTTCATAATTTTTATTTGATTCTTGTGTTATTAAAAAATATGATAAATAAGCATAATATAGGTAATAGAAACTTTGTTGTTAAGTTTTAATTTTTTTATAATAGTCGAGGTGGGCTCACGGCTTCACGGGTTCCCTTGAAGGTAGGTGAAATAGGCCATAACATCTAAACAAGATGAAAGATTCAAGAACGAACGAACGAGCGGACGATCAAGAAGGTCAACGCTCTCGACCTATTTTGTCTTTAAACTTGTCAGGTTAAGAAATTTTACTTAAGAAGATTTGTTGCGATGTCCTCAACACAGTGGGTATGTACAAGCCTCGTATAAATGCGACTTCAACTCACATTAGCCGCAAAGTGAGAGGTTGGATGCAACTGTGATAGGAAACCTTGAAACGTTTAGTTTATCTGTTACCAAGATATAGTATCTTTTACTTTTCATTGAGTCCATGGTTAAGATCTCGTATATGAATCTAAAAATTCATACATACTATGCAAAAAATAATGATATTTTCTTCTGTCGGGCTTGGTAATGGAGTGGAATGGTCCAGTATACTGTCTATAGTTTACGCGAGTAGTACACATTTAAATAAAACACTTTAAAGTTTTAAACCGTTCAAGTGTTTTATTTAAATGGTCCAGTATGATTCTTAAATGATTTTTAATAAAAAAAAAAAACATTTAAAAAATCTGAACACTAACTGATTTGAAAACTGGTTTGGTTAGAGCTGCATGAAACGCTGTGAATGCCGACTTTGTTCTGTCGGAAATTGTTTTTCAATAAAAATAGGTTTTTAAATTCCCAAAATGCTTGGTAACAATTCTCGAAATTCTCTTTGGCCGAGCTTTCGTCCATAGATGGAAGAACCAAGTCATCGCATGAACGTCCAAAATCGTTTAGATCAACAAGGTATCTTAATTACAGCAAGCAAATCTTTCATCCGTGAACTCAAGTTTTGTTTGTCCTCCTATGTCATGAAAAAATAAGTTAGCTTAGTACTTATATCGTACCCACTTATAAAAAATACACGTAATTATATCTAGACAAGGTATCAATTTTTTCACGTAAATAACAAAAAAAAAAATTTAACTTAATTTTGTGCCATTCGTTTAAATATACAAATCTTGCAAAATTATAAAATCTAATTCCATAGGCATTATCTTCGCTCACCACCTATAAAATTAAAATAGAAATCCGTACACATAAATAAATAATGAACATAGCTTACAAAATTCATTCAAATATCCATGGTGAAAGATAAGTTGATAATATTTCGGCCTTTAGTGTTCGACAAACGATTATTATATTGCGCAAGAGTTGGAGAATCTCACAAGCAATTTCTAAACTGAATATTCATAAGAGCGAATTGTTGAGGATAATCAAATGAAATATACCTTTGTATATATATAATCGCGCTGTGTGAATTACCATAAAAATGCTTCGAGAATGTCTATTGAGTTGCTTGCGGCGAAATAAATGCAATTCGTGTCCGTATTGTACGAATAAAGGAACCGCATACAATAACGGTTTTATCAATCTTTATAAAGCCTCATGTGTGAACCATAGTTACATAAGGACCTTCTTTAGTCATTGTAATGTAATTCTTTAAGATTATATTTATTATTAACTAGCTGTGCTCGCGACTTCGTCCGCGTGAAATAGTGACTTGGTAGAATTTCTAATTATTGAGGCTGTCTATTAATTTATGTAAGGGCGCATTTAAGGCTGCCAATCTATGGTAAGTCCTCCTTTGCCGAGAGTGTTGCGGCACCTCACATCACTTCTACTCCAACTCCCACTCTCATTCCTACACTCACTCCCACACCCATCCGTACTCCCACTTCCACTCCTATTCCCAAAAAGTAAACGAAGAAAGTTTCATTGTTCTAGCTTCAAAAACCACGATTTTCATACAAACTTTCATCACCTTACAACCCCCTTTTCGGAATAAAAAGTAGCCTATGTTCTTTCTTTTCTTAGGGTCTAGACCATCTGTATAAATTTCATTTAAATCAGTTCAGTAGTTTCGGTGCTAAAGCCGGACAGACAGTCACTTTGGCATGGCAAGAATGGCTTCTCTTTAAATAAGTTCAAAAATGTCATAAAATTTATATTGCCTCAAAAGGCGAATTATTGTTAAAAATACTTCTTTAATGACAGGGCCCGGCGGTGATATGTATTGCTCCTTATGTCATCAAATTCACAAAAATGTTTTAGTTTGTAAGACATGTTCAAAAAGCCAGACCGAGTTTCTTGGGTTTTCTTCTCGGTTATGTTGCTCTTTTGAACACTGTAGGTAGATTCACGACGAACGGACAGACAAACACATAATTTCATGTTTTTTATGAATCTAAATAATTTTATATAGAATAAAGTATATTTTATTTTGGTTAGCTTTGGACTTTCTATCAGTATCTATCAGTGTCTTGTCACATTTTTCATCTGTGGACATTGTTCGTGAGTATGGGATTTCAATAACTTACACTGGGTACGTATATTGTTGTGTATACGACGTTTGCAATAATCATGAATTGATTTGCAACCGACCGGTTTGGAACATAAAGTGAAATTCTAATTTTCTCCAAACACATTTCTGCGTGTATTTTAACAACATTTTAAACCGTTAAACGTGTTTTATTAAGATGTGTAATACTCGTGTATACTAAAAAAATACTTAAGTATGTGATCTGATTTCTGTGCTCACACATCTAAATCAGAACCTATGATATGCAGCGCTTACCGAACGCGGTGGATTCCTATTATACATTCGTAATACTATCTCGATGGTAGTAAGTAGTACTTTTATAGCAGCACATTGGTATTCCGAGCTGGCTATTACTCAATTTGTGCATATAATCTCCACCGTTTAGCGCCACACATTTGTCGCGAGTTTTAACCAAACTCAATGACCACCATCTCGGGTTACAAAAAAAGACGCTAATCGAATACTCTATTACAATAACCGTTATTTTTTAACCTTATCTGAATACGAATGTTAGTCACATACAGTTACATCACTGACCTTGGTCCAATATAGGACATTATTGGATTCAAAACACGTAATAGCAAAAGTAATAACATTGCTGAAATGCATCCAAGGGCAATTCTATTCAAGTGGCGTTGCATAATGATAAAAATCTACTTCAGAAGTAATTCAAAGTTAAAATCTATAATTATGCTTCGTCTGATAGAGACAAGTAAGAATTTTTGCCTATTTTTTGCCTTAAATATTCAAGGCATTAATAAATAAATGCCTTTCGAAATTTTAACGTACAATGTTAAAAATATTTTTATTTATAGACATTATTTTACTATTAGAGACCTATTGCGATAGAATGATTACATTATTAGTTAAATATTTACAACAAATAACTTCTCATGGAGTGATATTTTTGTCAATTCACCCAATTATCTAATAAATTTGGTATGGTTACTACCATGTAGTAGGAATTTTCTTAGAGCTTAGAGTCTGTTAGTTATAAGCTCATCAAGATAAATCATATTTTCCTGTTAAATTTCCTATGCATTGCATATATTCTCTGGTCGACAGTAATTTGTTTACGATTTTGTCGATTTTTTTCGGAAAGCCGATTTTTTTAGCTAAAAATACATTAAAGTATCATCAATTTACTCTGTTCATCGCTCACATATTATATTATAGTATGCGATGTAGGCAGTTTGACCTGCACACTTTACTTAACACTATTTGCAAGGTTTGCAAAAAAATTACAATCACTCTGATATGCTAAATGGCATTGAACTATTAAATTTAATATAATATCTTATTTTCGTATAGAAATCCGTAAGACCTCCAATTTTTACGGGTTTTTGGTGTGTGTCTGTCAATTCAAAGAAGCAATCAAAAGAAGGATCATATATCTGATAGCTAATGTTAACAAACTAAGCTTTAGTTTCAAATAAATTCAAATAATATTAGTGTGGGCTTACTAATTGTTCATTTTCTTTGATGATGCTTTGAATCTAGTGACAATGCCTATCTTTGGATAATTTCATAAGTCGGTACAATAGCCTCTGTTTGTACGTAGTACTGTCGACCTTCGATTGTCTATCTCCAAAATCGAACCGAAATATTCGCCCTCCAATTAGACAATATCTTACTCTAGCAGCATCTCCCTAAATTGCACAATCGTTCCTATCCTTTCTCCGCCCCACCGTGCTCACATTTACTATATATCCGTTTGACACTGGAGGAGCATCACACAAGTTCTTCTCGAACCGCAGTGACCCCACTATACATCATGAAAGCCTTCGTAGCGGTAAGTGTCGTGAAGTGAAGTGAAGTGATAAGTGAAGTGACGTTCAGAAATCAATGTGACGAGCGCAGGACATGTTAACGGTCATTTTATTTTGAAAATGGAATGCCTTGATTTCCGAACGTTGGTAGAACTTTAGGCTGAGGGCTTATCATATTGTGAATCGATCGAGTTCGTAAGAAACACGTTGTACCCACATAATGAAAAGCCCTAATCCTTACAAAACCAATTTATTTAAGTCCCACGCTAAAATTGAATAGATGCTTTCTCTAAAATTTATAACAACTCTATCTTACAAAATCAGCATTAGATGGCTAGAGATATTATTGTTATTAACTTTCATCGCAAACAAACAATTAACGTAAAAGTACGTAGATATTGCAATTTCGGTATATAACATGAATAAAACGTGTTAAAACTTCTCCCCTAAACCAATTTTTGAGTTTGTTGAATACTAAAAAAGCTGTTCCTAATAAATTCACTATTGCAAGTGCTCGAAACTGTGGGATTGCGTAGTACCACCATAAATAACATAACGATTTAAGTCTGAGAACTTCATTCAAATGTCTCCACGTCCTATCAAACAATACAGTTGCGCGCTAAAATCGCACGTTTTTCACAGATATTAATCTAAATATATTTGATACACAATGAAGATCTAAATCTTTGACTATTTCACAGACTATTAGTCATTTTTTTCTTGTGATGCACTTTAGAAAACCTAAAAAATATTTAGTAAGAGTAAGAAGCTCCAAAGAAAAGAAATAGTCAAAGACGAGATTCTTCACAAAAATGTCACTTTTATTTTACATAAAATTTTGTCATTCAATTAAGTTTCCACTGGGTTCGAACCCCAGATTAACATTATGTCTTTCGGTAGTGTTCCAACTTACCAGATACTTGTTAATAAAACTAGCACAGCACTCAACTATGTCTGTCTCGTTCCACATAGGGAATAGTGGAATATCCTCACGTAGTTTCCTCCTATGCATAAATTGCATGTCGCAAGCCTGGCAAGTACAAATAAATTATTATTCAATAATAAATCCGAAATAATTACGCGTTGCTGCATCATAAGCGTTTGGCTTATGAAATGCAGGTCGGAGGTCACTTACCAACTGTATTTAGATTTGCACAATAAAATACGTCATATAACGATGTTTTTTCACTAGAAAAGAATTATGGATAAGCACGAGGATCGCGTAAACGACCAAGTTAAATTGTGTAAAAGCCAGTTTATTAGACAACATACTACGACGCAATTAGCGTTTGGTGATTTCACAATCATTTTTACGTTAAGGTAACGAAGTGATTTTCAACCATTAAATTATTAAAATACAAAAACATCAAAAACTAGTCCTAGCTTTTGCTATTCTCGTAACTACTGGAAAGGTTTATTTTAAATCCATTGAAAGACACAAAAAATAATAAAGACAAAAATATGCACATATTTAGTAACTACTAGATAATAAAATATCCAAGAATTGACCTTACCTACATATCCCACTCAATATAGTTTTGTAGGGCATAGTTAACAAACATCGCCGTCTACTACGGTCATCATCAAAGTTTATCGATGTGACGATGTCGTAACCAAACCAGCCATTCTAAACATGGCTCGTTTCGTGTGCGATTTGATTAATACTAAAACAATAACCATTTGTTTGTAAAAGGAGTCGTGATGATTTTACTCATTCTAAACAATGGACTAATAACTATAATAAATGAGTATTCAAATTAATTGAATCAAAGAGATTAGCGACGAATACAAACAAGTAAAATAATAAAAAATATACACTCGCACTAAATTGTGTTGTTTAATTATTTGAAGTTGTAGATTTAGCGAAACCGTTTTTATAACATTATTAAATTTCAACGTATTCAACTACTAACAGAAACTTTTAACAAAGCAGAAGCCGTATGTGATCACGAAAATGCACATTTCTTATTTGTCAAGAACGTCGTCGAAGATTTTATTAGCACACACACAATGAACCTATGTTCATTTGGTGTCGTTTTGTTATAATCACGAGTTCAGCTAACGTCTTTGTTTCATGACTAGATAAAAGTTTCAAGTGGCAAGCTCTTGCGTGACTTCCGGTCGCATAGCGGAAATATTAGCGCAAAGTACAGCATGAATGGTCAGCTGCGTGACATGCCATTAAGCTCAAGTAATGAGAGAAATCGTTTCGAAAATATTTGCATTAGATAAATACTTATATTAAAAAAACTAATTTAGCTGCTAATAGCAAAAAAGTAATCTCAACCCTAAAAGGATATAAAGGATGATAAGTAAAAATCGCATAAACATTAATGAGACTTTTTGTGCTGTAAAGCCTTTATTATATAAGGGAAAAACCATAAAATATGTTATATCTCGAACTTTTCCTTATTATCTTTGTCGTTTAAAGACTATTTTCTAAATATGGAAAATGTCTTAATTAATATTTCCATATAAACAGCATTGAAATAAAAAAAATATATGAAACCCCTGTAATACGGCGTTCAATGCGCAGTTTAAAGGTTTTTAGTTCATCAATCATCGTAGAGTCTCGTATTCAGTTACACTGTGCAAATTGTGCAGATTACTCCGTAATAGATTTTGCACAAAAAGGTAATGATTATCTCGAGAACTACCTTTCTCATGGCGAGGTGACCTTTCGAAAAGATCGCATAGATGTCGTTGACGTAACCGGTGATTCCCTAGCTTCTGACATTTTGACCCGCGACGCCACTTTCACTCCAATTCAAGTTTTACTATTATATTTGTCTGTTTATTGTTCCTATGTTGCATATAGAAATTTAACGTAACTCTAGCCAAAGTATTGGTTTTATTTTAGTTTTCCAGAAGTAAAATTCTCAACTTACAATATAATTATCGATAATTTAAATCATCTCTTTATCAAAATTAAGTTTATTGTTTGTAAGCCTTATGCAATAAATGACAATTCATTTAGTTTGGGTTAACGAGTACATACTTGTATGACGATTAATTCATATTTTAAACACTGCGCGGGCGCCGTATTTTATGTGAGAATTTTCGCACGTCATTATAATTTATGATGACTTAACACTTTCTTTGTCCTACTTTAATTGTATTAAAGTGTATTTACGCAAGCAAAAAATAAAGCACGGATTTGTTTTGGCTTGAAGTCTTAATTTTTTATGATAGTAGAGGGCTGACAAGTTCACTTGATCGACCTATTCTTGTATATTTAAATTAGTATTTCGGATCCAAAGATATATAGATAAGTTATCAAATAGTCAATAAATCAAACAGAATGAAATCTTTAGAATAATCGTTATGGAATTAGAATATAGAAATTTTTAATCTGTAAAATATTCATAGCTGATGTATTAATTTAAAATGACAAAGTGGTTTCAAATGAATACACAATCACAAATTTGAACACGATCTTATAAGCACCTTCTCGGATTTACATAAATATGCCTTATTTAAACTTTCTTAATAATAAATATTTATGGACACGATGAAAAGGTAGAATCTGTAGACCGAAGACATTTAAATTAAACAATCTTCAGGTTAAAAACGCGTAGATAGATTAGTATACTTCCTGTCCTCTCATGCCTCTCTCTGATGCTGCTAGCAGCATCAAAGCATCTGAAACGTGGGGCCGTAACTAAATTCAAATTAAGTTAACAATAATATTTCGCGGTTTAAACCGTTAAAAGTGTTTTATTTAAAGGAACAGATGTAATAAAACACATTTAAGTAAAAAAAATACCTTTGTAGTCAAAAACATCACGTTTTGCGAAAGGACGTTAAAACTCAACTCAGTAGCTAAAACAAATAGAATTTTATACAAACATTTAGCAAATGCATACCACGTCTGCGCTAGCGTCACCAATATTGACGCAACCTTATTGAATAACATATATTTACATACTAGATGCGAATTACTAAGCAAATAACTCCGAGAAAGTGGAAACAAATGATAATGATGATAGAATCAAATTGTATAGTCTTTACTTTTAATTTAAAAAATGCATACGTAAAGCGCCATTTCATTAAACTAATTCCTCTTGTGTTATGTAATTATTAAACATAAACATTAGTTAGATAAAGACTAAAAAGTAATTCCATATGTTATAAATAATACACGTTATTATAATAAAATCAATGATGATATATGGGACACGGCAGTTCGATGAGCAGATGTTCGGAACGCTTTTCTCGTGGGTTCTTCCCGCTCGTTTGTTGTTACACACTGTCGTATTATACTTATAATATGGTTTTTCAACAGTGCATAGCCCTGGCATTGGTGGCGTGTAGCAACGCCGAAGCCCCCTCCGGCTACAACTACAACCGACCATCAGGGGGTGGCAGCTTCCACGGTGGATCGTCCGGACTCAGCGGAGGCGGCAGCTACCGTGCCGTTTCCTCAGGCTACCAGACTTCCGAGGGCCAGAACGTGGACGCCGCACTCCTCGAACAGATCCGTCAAATCCTCCTCAAGGAAGAAGCTTCTTCCGGCTCCAACTTCGGTAGCAGCGCCCCCTCCTCCTCCTACGGCGTTCCCTCCTCCTCCTACGGCGTCCCATCCTCTTCCTACGGAGTTCCACACGGCGGTGGTCGCGTTGTCGGCATCAACCTTGAAGGAGTTCGTCAAGCTATCCAGGTTGCCCAGTACGAGCAGACCGCGTCCGGTGGTGGCTACCCATCTGGCCCATCCAGCTCCTACGGCACTCCGTCTGGAAGCTACGGTGCCCCCTACTAATTCTACCGACGATGTGAACGCAATGGCGTTCTTATTCGGGCTCACGCGTGAGCTCGAATGTAAATAGGATTTGGTCGAGGGCCACGTACAATGTAGGTGGCTTCGGCTGGCCGACCACACCTGGCCAACGCTTGCGACTGTGCACGCACACGGGTTACCCGGCGGTCAGCCAGTCGTGGCAGCCGTCAAAACTGGTGGAGGGCAGCTTGCGAGCTACCGTCTATCAGTTTTACAGATCTCGAAACGAAGTGGCTTACCGCTGGGAACAACTCTTGTTTTGTATAAAGATTACTGTTAAGGATAGTTTTATTTATTTTTAAGATTGTTTTTTTTATTTTTCAAAAAAAAATAAATACATTTTGACACCGTACATCGTTTTTCATTATTTTGCAAAGGCGATTCATACCATCATCATTTTCATTATAATATATTATGAACTCTTTCGAATAAATTTTTATGTAACGGTGAGGATATGTTGCAAAAATTCGATTTATATCTGAATATTAATTTGGGTCTAATTATATAAAAAAGGGCAACATGTTACTGTCATCCCATGCTGTCTTTCTCGCTCTTGGGCAAAATGCTATTATGGGCAGGAAAAGACGTGTTGTTTGCTTAAAGTGGGTAATCTTTGAACCCAAGAATCAGTGGGCTTCTAGCATCCTTATTTAAGTCATCCGATGCCATAAAACAATGTTATTTCTTTTTGAGTCTTCCAAAATTCAACTTCAATTGATACTAAGAAGTAAAAGAGAATGCAGACTGCAAAAACCGATTATTTATTATGTTATTTGTGTCAATCTCGTTGTTCAACCCAACGAAACTTTCAAACTCTTGACCCGCCCAAAGGCTTTAGATTTCTTCAACTTGGTAAGATTACAAATGTGCTCTTTTTACGATGGTAGATTCATCTTGATTCATCGCGGGTCTTACATTCAGCGATTTCAATCCTAACAGTGATTTTGTAGTATACACTACATAAGAATTTAAATGTATGCAATATTAAAATCTTAATAAAATGTTTTGATTTCTTTAGCGTACATAATTTTCTTATTTATGTAGATACATAAAAAATTTCAAACATTTTTCTATTAAGTATTGAGTTTTCAATGAAAGTGTGTAGTTAAGGACAAAAGTACTTGTAAATTACAAAAGTACTAGGTGGTGCCGCGACATCGTTACGCAGATTAGGAGTAGGCTTACGTAGTTTCCCCCCTTTAAACTAAATATGTCCATAGGCTTTCTACTAGTTACTTGACACCTAATGTCATATTTTGGAAAAAAATCTTTATAGCCTATGTGTTATTCTGATGTATAAGCTATATTATTGGATAGTTTAATTGAAATCCATTTAGTAGTTTTTGCATGAAAGAGTAACAAACATCCATCCACACATACAAACTTTCACGTTTATAATATTAGTAGGATAGATATTTTTAAAAATATAATATTTTTACACGAGCCAGAATTACTGTCCTCTAGTAATATTAAGATAATCAAATAATAATTCAATTTCAAGTTGGAGCATTGTAGTTTTTCGCCTGAAATCTAATCTATTCTCTCTTTCTCTCTGCTACGCGTGAAAGACATTATTCCTGGCCTTCATGCACGTCCATTTGCAGAAGCCGAAGTTTACTAAAAAAACATTCCGACAACATTTTGTGTCTTTTTGTATTTAAGGCTAAGGTGGTTTAAAATATATTTTTTTTATGAAAAAGCAGGACAGATAAGGATGGACTTCCCATGGTCTGGCTTGGTTTTTGATGTTCCGAAATCTACAAACCGAAACACGATTAGACTTCTCGACTTATTCATCTGTTTACGTTGATCTGTGATATTTTCGACATTCCTACTATCCATTTAATATCCAGATTGCCAGACGAGTCCACCATGATTCAGAAAAATTATAAATTGACTAGAAAATTTTTGAACCCGATGGGGATCGAACAAACGGCCTATTAAATCGAGTCGAAAATCATCGTACCATATCAGTTGTTTAATTTTAGCCACGATCCGATGTTTCGTATGTATACACAGCAGTCAGAAGTTTCTTCTGCGAATGAACTTTTATTGAACTTCACGCTACCGCTTGTCGCGCCATGCCAGCACTCTCGCCACAAGAAGCCAACCTAGTCGCTGGCATCGTTTGATCGTTATGAAATGCAATCCCACGACTAATCGCTCAAATCTCGGACATAATGCTGCGTTACATAAACCACAATACGAGATAATAACGGCACCTATGTGACGCAAAGCGGTAATTACGATGTCGCGAGAAAGTTATGAATTGTCTTAATTACAGCGTTGTTTAGACATCGCGAACGGTTATTTGTTATTGCGTTTGGATTGCTTCATATGGCGAGAGCCGTTTTAGTCTATCGGTATTAGCTGATTTCCGTTCACATATATGACAATGCTTTCCGACGAAAAAAAACATCATTAGATAAACCAAACATTAGATATTATATGTCAAAACACAGCTTGCACTATCATAGGAGAATAAGGCTCTGATACTAGATATGTTTCAGCATGAGCTGAGTTTTATCAGCGCAAGGGCGATGATCGTAGCAAACATACATGAGAAAAGCTTTTTTTTGTTTCCTTTAAACACAATAAAACGCGGTGACAAAAACGGTGGCGTCAATGGCTGTAAGTAGGACCGACAAGCTGTAAAGCCATTGACTCCATTTTTTTACTACCTTGTAATTTCGGTATTTTACAGATAAGTATTTTTTTATGATAGAGGAGGACAACCAAAAACATGCGCATGCGCAGTTGACCAATTTTGGAATTCCACACTGAAACCGAAACGCAAATAAACTTCACGACTTTTTATCTGTGGACGTTGGTATGTGACTCAAACGTAATTTCGATATTTTATTTTATTTTTATAATATTAGGAAAACTTAACAGCTAATAGTTATAAATAATTTAGAACAGGAAGAGTAGAATAGTAAAGCTAGGGGAAGTTTTCACTTATAGAACTTATATTCCTAAACCATTTAATATCCAAATTTCCAAACAACGTCCAAAGTTCAGAAAAAATTTCAATTAATTCGAAAAATGTTGGACCCGGTGGGGATCGTAATTAGCCATACATTGCAACAACCATTACAGCAGGAACCCCGTCAAAAATTTTATATTTTATCATCGGATATCACTTAAAGTAATATAATAACCAGGACTATTTGCCCAGGTTAAGACTTGGAGGTTTTTTTTTATGTATAAAAAGTTGGTTATGTACAGAAATAAAATATACTAGAAACACAATGTTGCACCATTTATTAAATTGATCATTGTTACATATTTATCATCAAACAACCAAATATTTATAACACCATGTATAAACATCAACAAGTATTGCTTTAATTCACTACTTAATATTAAAATTGGCACTTTATGAGCACGACTTTTAGGTATAAGGAATAATATTTTTAATATGTAGAATAAGTTATTGTTCTTGGTTGAAGACGAATTTTAATAATAAACAAAAAAAGTAAAGTTTCAAGTTCAAACTATTATTTTTTATTCATGTTGGTCGCATTTTAATTAAGTTTTACTTTAATAAGTATATACAAATTGATTAATCATAATAATTTAATATAGCAACCAATTCCTTCTCTGTCGGAGATTGAAAAACCTTACTAACAATGTTACAGGCACTTTAATTATACTTATCACAATGCACCACAATAATAAATACTTTTTCGAGACTTTAACTTTTGCTTGGCTATATTATAAACTTTTTAGCATTACTTACAATTTCAATAAAACACTATAACGGTTTAAAACGTAAAAAATATTAGTCAACTTATATTCAATTCATTTTACCTACGTTCGCGTTTTAAACCATTAAAATTGTTTTATTTAAATGTGTATTACTCGGCCATACGGGCTATACTTGAATTTACAAACTCTTTACTGTACCCTTGAGAGCTAAATAAGATCACTGAAAAGCTTTAAACATAAGAAGTAATCATTAATTCATGACCTCATAAAACCCTTAGTCTTTCTGTCCAAGAAGATATTAAAATTAGGTCTTTGATACGTAAAATATTATTTTTAAAAGTGAATGTAAACTATATAAAGACATACTTGAATGCAATCTATATTGTTTTGTTTCTATTCATAACAATTAAAAAACATTTCTATATTAACAATTCATTGTAATATATTAAATTTCATGAAACAGAAAAATGACAACAGATATATTGGTTATAAAAGACAAAAACTCCAGTTAGTTATTTAAAACTCAATAGTTATTATTTATTATGAACAATCAGATGTTAAGCTGGAAAAATTAGGCACATTTTATGGCTTCACATGAAATTTTCGAATGTTTTACACATATAAAAATCAACGGACCATAATTATGAGTATTGTTACAAATGTATATTTACAAGTATTTACTCAAAAGCTGTATAAACAAACAAACACGTCAAACGAAGAAGCGTCGAAATTATTTTATAAATTAATTAAGTATGTCACTAAACCAGTTGCTCAAATTATGTAATATTTTCACAAAATATGTAAAAGTAATAATAATAGCTAGGAACATTTTAAATTCTAAATATCAATATGATAATATAAATGCTTAGAAAAATACAAGCTCTACATTATTTACAGGGTATATCAATAAAATTTTCTACCTATCTTAAATTATGCTTTAGGAAAATACAAAAAAAATAAACTACCTTTACAACCGTCATAAAAAAATACAAATCTTACCTAAAGCGGTGACCGTATATATAGTAATTCTTCATTCAAACCTCTTTAAAATCACAATACTGTGTTTGACTAACGAAATATACAATTTAATTTAGACTTATACACTAAATTGGTAAATGCTAGAATTGTCATAAAAGTTCGTTAGACTAGCCCAGACCCTGTACTAGCTAGCACCTTTCTTGTTCACTTCTTCGGGCCACAGCACTTCTGGATGGTTCAGCATATAATATGTCATATGTTTCTCGCTGCCGTACGTCGACGCCTTCGTTCCTAGGCACATAAGGAACTGACTTTTTTCTAAATTCTTATCACAGTCCACCGAATGAAACTTATGCACTAAACTTTCGTCCGCTATTCTGTACACAGTTAAATTAGATTTAATTAAAGTTTCAAATAGTTGGACATCTTCATATCCCCACCCCTTAATGTTTAGATTAAAACCGCCCACCCTTAAGAAATCACACTTATAGATACTCAGTATACCGAAGCCGTACTGTCTGAAATATCCGAAATCGTCATTGATCTCTTTGCTATATTTTAAATCGGCTAGCTCCCTATCGGTTTTGGGTACATCACTTTTATAAAATTTTCTAGTAGGAATGGTAACAACAGATTCTCCTTTGAATTTATTGTAATCCTCACCCTGGACGACATCCGGGTTGTACTCACTGAAGACGATTGGAAAATATACTTGATTGTACTTGACTGTGTTAATTCTAATTCTTCTTAAACTTATGTGATTGAACATCATATCGACATCTACAAAGAAGATTAGGTCATCATTTTCGCACTCTTTCAGTCCCTCCGTGAGAGCAGCGCCTCGAGAGAATGTGGTGGAACCCATGTGAACGATTCTTATGTCCTTACCATACATATCGTTATAGTGATCTAACAATGCTTCTGCGCTTCTATAATCTTGAAGGTTTTTACCATCTAAATAAAGAACAACTATTAAAGTGACCGCTTCATCACTTTTCAGGATGATTTCTTCGTAATTCTTCATGAAACGAGCGAATATTTCTTGCCGTCCCATTAATGGAAGGATGAAATATATTCTTCTATCGTATATTGGGTACTCGTAGTCATCATCCGACCATTTCAAGACCTTTGGTAGATTGTTTTGAATTTTCATTATGCCGCTTTCGATCGCCTCTTTGACGTTAAGCCTTCCTAATTCCAGAAAGCCGGCTGGCTGTGGACTCGGCTCGTCAAAGTCCTCATAATCGTTGAGTGAATGTTTACTATTGATTTTTTCTAGGATTTCAGGATCTTCAAATGGCGGAGGGTCGCCCATTGGTAGCTCTCGTATTTCCGTTGCTGGAATTATATAATTAAATTATAAATACATAATTTAATGCAGATTTAAAGGTTTACGTTAAACTAGCTGTGCTCGCTACAGTTTTTTTATATCCAAAAAATATGGGAATCTACGAACAATTGTCTTAGCGCCGCTCCGCTGCATTAACAATTGAGCTACTGATTGTTAATAACGAAATGAAAAATCAGTACGATACTACGTAGATTTTAAGATATGCGTTTTTGTACATTAAATTTGTTGTTTACCTCAAACCAAGGGATAAAAGACTGTTTTACCCAATGGGATATAAACATATTGGGGTACGAACGTGTTTCCCTGATGGATTTTTTCTAATCGTGCCCTGCCAGATCGTAGCAATTAATTTTTTCCTTGCGTTTCGATCCTAGGACACCTACCACACAATGGTAGAAAAGATGTTTACCAATTAAACTACGGAGGCGGTTAACCTCAAATCAGAGATCAGTTTAAACATGACACAGTCGCCGTCGCAAAATTAATAGGTCATATTTTAACAGTAACACGTAATAGAGTGGAAAATTAGAATCTGGACCCAGGTGACTTACCAGTAAAACTCTGCTGTAGATAAGCGTGTCGACGCACCGCCGCTGTCATTTTTCGACCACGGTAGCGCCTGTACTTCAAAAGCAGATCCAAAACGTGGTCCACTCCATGCAACGGCTGGAGACGAGTATATCCGTAGAGGAGTTCGTTGAAGTCGATCACACGGCCTCGTTGGCGAGATGGGGCATTTATGATTTCCATTACCTTGAAATTGATATATATTTATTAATACTATATCTATTTTTTAACACCTTATTGCACAAAAGACAAGAAAAAATACAAACGAAACGGGGTGCAATGTAGTGCATTGTTACTAACAAGCGATCTCTTTCAGGCAACCCAGGATGAAAGAAATGAACGTTTATGTAAAAACGAGATATGCATGCTGGGCAAAACAAAATATAGGATCTTGAAAAAGAGTAAATAATATTAAAACAAAACTTACATTATTTATAAGCATATATAGGGTATATAAACTTAAAATAAGAGGGAATACGTAAGAAAATTAATTCATAGTGACCAATAGTTGACTTTTAGAGATTCTCAAAAATAAGGGTATTCTTTCTATAGAGTTATAATTGAACAAAAATACAATTAAAAAGTATTTTTAACACTGGGAAACCTTACAACAGAGATCGTACCGCAGAACCACTATACAAACTGAGTAGTCACTTTATCGTCTTGTAGATTGAATTTTACCTATCTCTAGTGTATTCCTCCAGTCAAAAATACACTCCTAGTTTCTATTTAAAAATTTCTTCTTCTTACTGTTACTGACTACTTTAATTTAGATATTATCAATGATTACCTCTCTAATGACATCATCCAATGCCTCCTTCAGTGGGCTTTCAATCCGTCGTTTAGGGTTTGAGTGACTCATTGAATAGATAGATTTGCTGATGAATTCAAAAGGAATAACATCTTTTATAGAGTCTGGTTTGTATCTGTTGAAATCTATCGGTGCACCTGAAAACAAATAATTTTTATAATCATTAGAAAATCTAAATAAAGAACAGATGGTGCTAGCGTAGCAGTTTTTACTTTCACACATCCTCAATCTTTAGTCGCCCCGTGACCACGGCCGCTGCAAAGCATCCGAAACGTCTGGCGATAGTTAAAAAATTCCAAAGAAGTTTCACTAATATATATTGCGTTTTAAAGCGTAAAAGTGTTTTATTTAAATGTGTAACTACCGGCATAAACACAGACAGTCTTTCATTCAAAAGTCTTCATAAAAATCATTTAAAATCTTCTATCTAAGATATAATGTAACACATTAACAGAACGCTGTTCATCTTGCATGATTTATTTAAAAGCATTTTCTCACATGCCACTAGCGTACAAGAACATAACACATGTTCTATACCTTATACTAACAATTGCTCTCTTTTGTGTTTAATAAAAGTACTGGTTTTTCTAATCTAGATATTTCCTACCTAAAATTCTGTTGTCTCCCAAATATCCTGGCTGACCCATCTTAACTGGAAATAGGGGGACGTCGCCTGGCAGGACATAATTAGGTACTTGTTCTTGATCAACTTCCATTTCTCGAAGTGAAGTGGCTATCTCTCTGTGCAGGTCTAATGTCGTCTCGCGGAGGTCTTGGATTTTTAAGTTCTGAAAACAACATTTTTTTTATTATTTTTTTTAACGCCTTTACGATACGACTCAAGATGAAATATATATATAGTATGCTTCACTTGGATTTCGTTCTGTAAATCAGTCCTGGACGCCCTTGTATGATGACGTACGCTAACATATAAGCCCTTATGTACAGAACTGTTGCGTCCCTTCCCACCTTTCTTGCAAGTTAATCTTAAAAAATAGACATATAGCGTCTAGGACTTTTTTTAGATCATTTAAAGAGGAATCATTCTTTCATACACATTTTTAGGTATCTTGAGCCGTTTTCGCAGCGTCGCATCTGAAACCCAAAGGGATGAAACATTTCCCCTGTTTTGTTCACACTTCCGGCTGTATCTTCTGTCATCTGATAAATGCTCTAACCACCACAAAAATATTTTTTCAATTCAAACCCGTAGTTCCTGACATTAGCGCGTTCAAACAAACAAACAAACAAACTCTTCAGCTTTATTTATTAGTATAGATATGTCTAGAATATTGCTGATAAACCAATATTTGAAATAGGCGAGGTACAAAAGGTATTTTAGTTAAGGCAATTTGCAAACGAGTTCATTTTGGCGAACTGTGTGCATACAGAGTTCATTGATCGATAATTATATGTGTTTGTATACTCATAATAAGATAACACTACAGATTATGATCGAAATATGATATTTCAAGACAGCCTGGGGCAAACATAATGTAATGCGGGCGTATCAGGTATCGCGTGTTTATAATTGTTAGCATAATGCAAAATAAAGCAATTTCTTCATCTCTAAGTTAACTTAGTCTCTTTAATGGGTCTTAGATTTCAGACTAGTTCCTAGTTTTAGCGTCCCTAGTCCGATATGAATGCAATGGTTTAATTAATTGATGAACAAAAAACACAAAGAAGATGTTGTGTGTTGATAAACCGTGTTAGTTTGTATATACTCGCTCATATTATTTAAAATATTGAAGAGTATGTGACTGTCTGATTGTTTGTCCGTCCTTCACGGTAAACGGAGATAGTTGAAAGAATGAGGACTGACATAGGATATTTTTTGTTTCTTTCTAACTCCCCACTTCCCCCCTAAAATGGAAGATTGAAATTTGTATCGCGCTTTTCGCAATTATCAACGTGTAAGCGCAAGCGAGGCCATAGGCGTAAGCTAGTTATTCATAATTATACTCGTAATTACACATAAAACCACCAGTTAGGTCGTCTCACCTTAAAGTAAGTGTGGAGGCGATACATCTGTCGATGATCTTTGACCGGGTGTAAAGTGATAGCTCGGTGAACTTCCCGCTTCTTCAGACGACCGGTGTAAGCCGCTGCACCGCTGCTGTTGTGGTGTAATATTGTCTGCATCTGGAATATATATTTTCAACATTTAGATATAGTTATCTATGCTAATATTATATTGCTCAAAAGTTTGTTTGTTTTCAACTACTGGTTCAAATTGGAAAACCTTTTATCGATTAAGGCTTCAGCCTATAAAACATCACGGTGCGACCACTAGGAGCGAAGCAATAGAAGGAATTGTGGAAAAGGGAATAATATTATTCCTCAAAATAATTATTTTATTTAAATAATGAAAAAACATGTCGCAAGATTGACGGGATGAATAACGGGCTAATAAAGGTACAATGACCAACTCATAAATCATTTTGTGATATTTCTAAAGACAAGGGAATATCTATATTCAGGCCAGGTCCCTTCCAGGCCAGTCAATTGGAGTAGCATCTTTACTGTTAAACTGAACTAAACCGTCCGTCCTTCTCTGTCCAATTATAATATATTTCTGACTAGAGGTACGTATATTACCACTAAATTAATTTTGCCTAACTCCATATAAACTTACCTACCTGTATATTTACGTAATGTAGGACAAAAAAGACGTTTTGCATTTCAAACTTGTATATTTCTTAATCGTTTGTAACATTGTTTGCTGTAGCGCAATGCAAACTCCATCCAGTGAACTCATCATTTTGTAAGGCTTTTTTTAAACTAACAAGACCTTGTGGCGAGTCATCTCGGTTTAAATTTTTTTTTGAACACAATGTAATATTCCAGTCACGACAACGAATTAGTAACAAATATTTAAGTAATGTCTACCGTGGCCACGGCTGCGCCGGGCTGTATTAAATATATAGTTTGTAAATAAGTTAACTAATATTTTGCGTTTTTATTTAAATGAATATTCCTAAATCGATATTTGAGATAAGTATTTTCTTTATGTCAATACATTTTTACGACGATTTAAAATCTTTCAAAATCTGGGAAAAACGGCAAAACAGAGTGTATTATACAAAAATGGCAAATAGTTTGGCGTCAGAAGGATTCTGAGAAGTTTACAGTTTCCTGCTAGAGGTGAAGTAATTGTAAATGTTTACATACAACAATAACGTTATTTCTATAACTGTTTCCCACTTTTCATACACTATTATAAACCATTACTAAACTCCGCCGCGGTTATTACCTAGAAATTTCGGGTCGTAATAAAAAATAAATAAACTTATATTCTTTTCATTAAATTAAAAAAATTAAAACGTTAGAAGTACCAAAAGAGATAAGTACATAAAATGTGCAATGTGTTTAGTTATAATTAATAATAAATCAATAAATATAAATAAATAACTACTTGTGTCTAACTAAAAACAATCAGTGGAACGGTAACATTGATGTGGTCGCCCCATGCTTCGAAACTGGAAATAGGATTTAAACTTGAAGTATAAATTAGGGAAATACTTAGTCTGTTATTCATCTTCTTACTGAGTGCAGTTATGATTAGGGCCAATGATAGTTGATCGCATTATTGTTACGACAAACATTACTGTGAGAAAATTATTACCAGGGTCTAGAATACGGGCTTCGCGAGTGAAGATATACTTACTAGGCAAAACGTTAGTAACAAATTGTTTTTATTGACGGGCTCGTTGGTGTAATGGTTGTAATGTACGGCTATTCAACGGTTCTTAGTTCAATCCCCACCTCCACCATGTGATGTTAAACATATTGAACTTCGGAAGCCCGGATATTAAATGGTCGTCCGGACGAAATTCCGTCCGGGTCACTAACCACCCTCCGCAGATGAAGAAAGCCATCAATTTCAAATTTCAATCCATCAATTTTGTTTTTTGCGTTTCAGTTTCATTCTGTGTGTTCAAATATTCAAAGCTAAAATACATCGACAGCGCGTCTTGTTTAGATGTTATACGGCTGGGTATGTTATATTTCACCCACCATCAAGCACCCCATGCTTGTCGGCCCTCCTCTACCATATAATGGACAAAACTACTACATCCAACGATTACAACCGATACATTGTTCAATTTGGTCTTATCGTACAGAGAGACGTCAAACATGGGCAATGTTACGGAGAAGACAAAACGTCTTCAACTACTTTGACGTATTCTGTTATTCGGTTTCTTAAATACAAGACTACAGTATCAAGTATACAGTATTGGCTATTAAACGGCAGCATATATTATCTCAAAGTGAGCTTTCTAAGCCAACTGTATCCTAAATCAATGCAATGCAAAAGAGAATGAATACATATAATATTTATATATTTGACTCGTATGCACATGATGGATCCTATGAATTATGTTTGTCCAATAATAATCTATTGAACTGCAGGTCATAAGTTAATTGAATTCAAGATACGATTAATAAGGATCACAGAACACTACTATTAAAATTAATTCAACCATGTATACTTCATGTAGGTACTACAATAACGATTCATGTTTTAATATTAGGATTTAGACCTCTCTGTTGTTCCATATATCATTGGGGTTTTAAGTAATTATTATATTGGTGCATACCTAGGCACTCTTTTCATACTTTAATAAAGTAAAATGATAAATGTTAATACATTATTTGAAAAAAAATAGACTGTTTGCAATTTAAAGGATGTTTGCAAAATACTTGAGTTTTGCAAACACTTTAGTTTAAAAAAAGAAATGACACGAGCGCAAGGTAAGAAATGGTCATAGGTTTGGGTCCCGAGTAGTCAAATACAAAACTATCGTGTGTAAATATGCAAAAATAAATAAAAATAATATTAAACCTAACCTAAAATTATTTAGGTTAGGTTTAATATTATTTTTTTTTAATTTAATTTAATTTATTGTACAGTAAGAACCAAGTACTTAAATGTAAGCAAAGAAAGGAGGTCAACAAAATCCATACAACCTAGATAAACTGTGTTAACGTAAACTAAACCATTTTATTTTTATATTGGCCTACAATCGAATGGTTATATTTAAGTATTTACCCTTGCAGCATTCATAATTACTAAAAGCGGTTTCTTTTTCTTCAAGATCACTTTCATAATATATCTCAAATAAATATTGCCGTTATACTTAGGCTTCTCGCAAGCCAAAACGTTAGATTTAATAAAAAGAGGGTTCCAGTCGGCTTTGAACAACCATTGTTTGCAAATTCGTTACTTAATTCGAGAAAGCTTTGTCACGAAAGTTGAAACATGAGGCTAAGAATATGTTGGAATGTTTACATTGTTACTCACAATTAAGCAGACTGTTATTAGTTATTATTTATTAAGCTAAGCAGCTCAAGTAATTCGAATATGATAATTTTTAGAAGCTTAGACCCACCGGCTGCTTTGTGAGTTAGCGGTCTTCAATCCGAAAAAGTGGGACGGGGGGTGATAGCACCCCGTAACCACCATCGCCTGAAGATAAAAAACACCTGAAGTTTAATTGTGTTGTCTGGCAAAATAGGCCGACAGCTTCTTGTTCTTCTTGCATCTTGTTAAATTGTTTATTGATTTGGGTACCACCTTCCTTCAAGATAACTCCACGCTTTTCATCATCATAAAATAAACTTTTGAAAACACGCTTGTCTGCATAAGATTTCAATCAATCAAATTTAACGGTTCTACACAGAGACATGTCATTTTATGTGTATAATAAGCAGGGAACGGTAGTATTTTGTTAGAACAAAGGAAGCACCCACTTTATAGCGAGGAGACGGACACGCGACTGCTTTGCGAGGATACGTCAATCTACACGTCTTGGTTGCGACCTTGCTTCTTATTTAGTTCCTAAAATATAATCTTCAACACCTGATTTAGAGGTTAACTATGCTTACGCGATAACTGGGATATCGATGGAGGTCTTTCCTAATACTCTGGCTGCATTACGAAATCACCCCTTCACATGCCGTCAGCCGTCTTGAATATTAACCATTATATTAAATTTTGCACGAAATACTCCGTGTCTTACAGACAAAGCACTACTGTACTATTCGCAAAAACTGTAGTATTTGCGACTAGTACACATTTAAATAAATACTTTAAACCATTTAAAACTTGCAATATATTACTTAACTTATTTACAATTGATTTAGTTGCGGCCCAACGTGGTGGTGGGGTATTGAGGAGGGGGGGCTCTAATTTTAAAGTCAAATCTTCTACGCTATGCCACCTGTTTCGTCGTAGTTGATATTTGGAGAAACTAGCTAGCAGAGCTGTCTCACGCTATCCTCTCCTTTCTCGATATGTCGATTTATGAGATCTAGTGTTTGGGTTTAGTAGAATTATATATAGCCTACTCTCCATCTTATTGCACATGCCGCTACAGATGTTTATACTTTGAAAATCTTTGCGGTAAATCACCATACAGCTGCAATAAGAAATGTCCCATAACACCCCTTTCTGGTAAAACAAACGAGGTTGAACGATCGTGTTCAAAATCTAAGTAGGTAATAAAAACTCAAATCAACTACTCAGTGAAGGCAAATAAACAATAGGTACAAATACAGATATTGAGGTGGCTAAAATCAATAGTTGTCACAGTTGTGTTAATTTATGTAACTACGCAATACATGCAACACAAATCGGAAATTATTCATGCCAATTATAATACATGTATTTACAGTAAATACGTCGTAAAACTATGGAATGAGCATTTTGTTAAACTTAATTGAGATTAAAAGAAAAAACCCATCAAGTGCGCGTCGGTCTCTCGCATGGAGGGTTCCGTAGCACTAGACTACACACAAATATCACATTATGGACCTTTCTTATTTAAATAAAACACTTTTCACGCTTTAAGACGTTAAATGTATTAGTTAAAGTATTTATTTATGGTAATAGAGTTCAGTATCAAGTGAACCCAAGGTAGGCAAAATACTCTAACCGTAAAACATCTAAACAAGATGCGCTGTCGGCCTATGTTGGCTTTGGATATTCGGAAATCCACAGACTGAAACCGAAATGCGATTAAACTTGACGGCTTTTTCAATTGTGGATGGTGGTTCGTGACCCGAATTTTATTTATTTTAACTAAGGACTGACGTTTCCACAATTCAGTCTGCTTTGAAGCCACCCCCCGCGGGGGGAT